CCAAGACGGCACAAGAGGCTCCCTGCAGGGCTCGACGTCCCAAGAGAGCCCCAAGAAAGCCCAAGAGGCCCCCAAGACAGCCCATGAAGGCCCCAGGACGGTCCCGAAAGGGGGCCCAGAGGGCCGCAGGAGACCCCATGATTTTTTTTGTGAAAAAGGAAGCCCCAAGAGGCCCGCCAAGAGGGCCAGGAGTTGATGGTGGATATCATGAGTGGCCAGCTCAGCTGCGACCGCGACACCGTCAAGCTAAGCGAAAAGCGGCACAATAACCTCACGCTTAGCTCCCAACGAAGTAGTCTCACCAAGGACAATGACGATCGCAATGGCTAAGCACCTGTCGTCCATCAAGCCATTTTGGCAACAGGCGACGGTGGCCTGGGCCTGCAATGACCAATGTCATCGCAGTCCAGGGCCTCAGGGATGGGAGGGCACGGCGCGCAAGTGAGTGGGATGCTTCAGGGAGCTATGTTCTCGGTGCAGCAGACGAGTAATTTACAGAGCACGCAAGTAATTGAGGATCTCCAGTTAGTCGACTGCTGTCACCGCCCTTTCAGTCTGCCTTGTTGGTTGGCTCGTGGCTTGCAAGTGCTAGCCGACGGGGCACAACAGGTTCGCTCGAGCACCAGACTCGAACGGTATCGTCGCACGCCCCCATGTTAATCTTCCGTATGTCTGTGTAGCATGCTCTGCGGGATGCAGAAAGTGGGCGCCCTTGGCGCTGTTCGGTCCAAGGGTGGCCACCCTCTGCGCCCGCTTTATACGCGCCCTCAACACATTCCATTGTTATTTCTCACGCTCGCGCAAAACACATCTACTTCCTCATTTCCTGGTCTCCTCCTCTTCCTCTCCTCCTCCATTCATTCTCCTTCTAAATAATTTCTCCTTGTCGCACCCCGAGGCCAGCTTTGAGGGCGGGCCGGGCGTTTCGCCTGAGACTTCCTCACCGTTTATGATTTTGAAGCGTAAACATTGGCGACGGCTTCGCAGATGGAGGGCGGGTGGTTTTCAACATGATTCGTTTTGTGGCTCTCGCCTTCGTGCCGCGCGCATGGCTTCTGATGTGCAAGAGTTACACGGAATGGGGGTCACCCGTTTTCAACATGTGGTTCTCGCTTCAGCGCCGCGCGCATTCGTTAAAACATTGCAATCGCTTCGCGGATTGAGGGTCGCCCGTTTTCAAAATGTGGCGTTCGTTTTGGTGCCGCGCACATTCGTTTAAACAAATTGCAAGAGTTTCGCGGATCGAGAGTCACCAGTTTCCAACATGCGGTTCTCGTCTTAGCGCCGCTCGTTTTTTGGTTAATCGTTTCACGGATTGGGGGCGGTCTTTTTCAAAACCTCAGCGCCGCGCGCTATATAACTATACACATATGTATAACGTAAGCGTTGCTTTTGTACGTGAATCTTTGGCACGTTTCGCTGTTGGCCGCCCTATGTTGCAGTACGAGGTTTCCCCGCAATTGCGGTGGGTCAAAGCAAAGAGGGGCGGCGGGCCCCGGCCAGATGGCCGGGCACGTCGCCGTGCGAGTCCTGGAGTGGGCTGGCGGCGTGGGGGCCTATCTATAGCGCGGTGCCCGACGTGCCCGCCGGTACCCGACTGCCGCTGCGCGGCGTGCCCGGCGTGCCCACCGCCGGCGGCCTGCGCCCCCTGCCCGGCGTGCCCAGGCTGTCCAGGGGGCGTCGCCAGAGGGCGAGCGCGCGGGGCCCGCGGGCCTGGCCCCCGCCTGGGGCCTGTGGGCGGCGCTGGTTCTCGGCGTGCTCGTCGGGGTGGTGCTGGCAGCGGTCCTGCAGGCGGCCTGGAGCGGCTCGAGGTGCTGCGTGAAGCATGGCGCTAGCCCCGAGGATAAAAAAGTTGACGTTCGTGCTGTATACGCAGACGTCGTGCACTTGTGGCACCAGAGGCTGGTCCTCGTGCACGTAGGACTGTCGATCCTCAGCCCGGACGGTGACGTGTACGCGGAGGACTACGGCGACGATAGCCTGGACGTCGCCGCGGTCAGGTACTCGGCAGGATGGGCTGCGGTGCCGGCTGGGGTGCCACCTCGGCGGGTCTACGGGTTTCGCCAGGAGCCGATAGCTGCGGAGAGGGCGAGGGCGATGACGGATGCTCAGGCGGAGGCCCAGGCCGAGTGTCAGCGGATCGCGGCGGTCCGCGGCGACCCGCAGTTGCTGGCGAGGCCGCCTGCGGAGGCGGGGGCCGTCGTGGCGGCGGCCGCGCAGCTTGCTCGCATCGGGCCTCTGCAGGGGCGGCGCCGGGCGCGGCGGCCGCGCCGGCGCGGTCAGCGTGGCGGGCTGCGATGGCGCCCGGACCCTTCACGTACGGCGACGTCGTGGACCGCGCGAGGAGCGCGCTGGCCGTCGGCAACCGCGACGCGCGCGCGCGCTGCCCGACGGGAGCGGGGTCTTCGAGCTCGTCGACCCGGCGGACGAGGCCGTCTTCTTCGACCAAGCTGTCGCCGCGGACGCGCGGATCGCGCCGATCCGACGCAACCGTCAGGACCGACGGGGGCGCGCCTGGGCGGAGATGAGGGCGGCCATCAAGCAGGAGAGCTTCGGGGCCGACTGGCAGCTCCCAGGTCTGCGCTCGAGTGTGTGGTGAATTGAGTCCATCAACCAAGAGGGTAGCGGACTCCTGGGACACCACGAGCGCTTCAAGACGGCCTGTCGGCTGAACGGAAAATCGCGGGGGGTCTTCGAGCACTTCAACATCGCCCAGGCGCTCGCCCAGGGGCTGCTGGTGGACCAGCTCGGCGGGAGCAACTTGCTCACGGTCGAGTGCCAGATCCGGCGGCTCCAGACCAGGACATTCGGAGCGCGCGCAGGAGGCCGAGGCCGAAAACTATCAGGGGAAGATGTCCTCGGAGGAGCAGCAGGCCTTCGCGGGGGCGACGAGAGCCTCGGCCACGCTGATGATCTGCCCACAGCGGCTGGACCACGCGCGGTCCGCGGTGGAGCGGGAGGCGAAGCTGGCCAATAATATGAGAGTTGCACGAGAAGAACGGGAGGCCTTCCCGTAAGGGGCCGAAGTGGCAATGACGCGCCGATCGGGTCCTTCAGGGGCGGGGCCCGACCGCCTTCCTTGCCCCGGGCTAGCTGCCGCGGCCGGCCGAAGTTTTGGCGCGGGTGATGGTCGAGCTGTCCCTCGTGATATCATCCCTCTCTCTCGCAGGCCCGTCGGCTCCTTCTCGGACGAGGGGCGACGTCAGCCGCTCGGTGAGGCAGGGGATCGGCGCCCGTGCTGCCGTGGAGCTGGACTGCGACAGGGCCGCGCGGCGCCTCAACGGGATGTTCTGCCGCGCTCTGCAGCCGGGGCTTGGGCAGGGCGGTCCGCATTCTGGTCTCGTCTCGCGTGCGCAGCGCGAGGCTATCGACTTCATCGAGGAGTCGGTGCGAGCGCTGGGGCGGGGCCTCCCCAGGGCTCACTCCCGCAGAGGCTCTTCGGAAGCTTCGCGTGGCGAGTTGGTGCGACGTGGATTCTGCCAAACTCGGATCCTACCGCCCCGACGCGATTTCGCTGCCAGTTGCTCTCGAGGAGTGGTGGGGGGACGGCGGGAGTGACGCTGGGAAGGATTTCATCTCTCAGAATTTGTTGTGTTCCGATGGGGCGAAGCAGCGGCTACGGGGCGTGGGGTTGGAGCGGGCGTACTCTGACCCAGCGCTTCGACGCCAGGGTGCGTATGAGGAGTTTATCCGCGTGCGACATATATATATATATATATATATATATATATATATATATATATGTAGCCTTTCGTTTATGTATATATACACATAGATATGTGTATATATATACATATATATATATATAAATGAGCGAATAAATCGAACTTAGTATATGTTCACTGGTTTTGAGGGTCAGCAGTTATCTTGAATCGCACTGTTGAAGTCCCAGGAATTGCGTTGGGGCACGTTTCAGGATCGCCAAGACGCAACAGTCAGGTTGGTCCGTGGCGCTGGACCTTTGTAGGGGCCTATGAAGAGGGAACTTGGAGGGACGGTTTATTCCAACATCGTTAACGATTCTTGAGTTTACACTGGTCTTTGTCCTCCTCTTCCTCCTCCTCCTCCTCCTCCGCCTCGTCTTCCTCCTCCTGCCCGTTCTCCTCCTCCTCCTCCTCCTCCTCCTCCTCCTTTTTCTCCTGTTCCTCCTCCGCCTCCACCTCCTCCTCCTCCTCCCCCTCCTCCACCCCCACTCCTCCTCCCCCCTCTCCCTCCTCACCCGGGAGGGCCCACGGAACCGTTCGGAATCCCCCGAAGCGTGCGTGACCCCCCACCACTGAAGATTTGAAGGCGTCGTCGGTTTCGACATGCGTCGGAGAAGCACACGGAGGTCGTTGCGTTCGGCGAAAAGCATAGTAACATGCGCGTGGATTAGCGACGGCTCCCATTTCCATGCAACATCGATGCGCTGCCTCGCCACATCGGGCGTCCCTTCTGCATGTTTCTGGGGTGCGCCCCCTGGTCCGTTGATCTGGCGCCGGCGTGCCCGATCCGCGCACGGGCCCCTGTTTCGAACCAGCAGACAAGGCATTGCCGTACATTGTCGGAGGTCCGCGCGGATGTTTTGGATCGGCGGTGGAACGCCCTCCCTGGCGCACGGAGTGCGCCGGGGGCGGCGCCGGGGCGCGACCAGGGGGCCCAGCGCCGATCGGAGAAGTCCGCTCGGAGTTCCGAAAATCATGGTTTACGCAGTTTCTTTTTCTCTGGAATTACCACCCACCAAACCACCCCAACCCAACCCGAAGGCTCAGATTCACCCTCGATTTCCAGCGGGGGGGGGGTCGGGAAACACAGAAAACACATTTGGAACCCGTACCCCCCCCCCAACACGAAATTCGGATCTTCGGGTTGGGTTGGGGTGGTCTGGTAGGTAGTCGTGGAAATCCAGGCCAGCGCGTGCCCGTCCTCCGCCCCTCTGCCGAGACGGGCGATGCTGTGGTGGCCGTGGTCGGGCCGACTGCGCAGGGCGGGCGGGGCGGCCAGAGGCGCCCGCCGCCCAGGCGATCAGGCAGCTCACCGACACGGTCCTGAACGGGCGGCCCATTTTCGTGAGAGAGGATCGGGTTTTTCCGCTTCGGAGAAAAAGGGAAAGGTCGGTAGCAAGTGATAGGGACTTCGTGTACACTCGCAGGTCCGTCGTTGGAGCACGCTCGCGCCGATTAGCGTCTGGTAGTCGATGAGATGCGCCGATCTAGCGACGATTCTCGTCGAATCACAAGAGCCATCTAGATGGTATGGGAGGCCCCCAAGAGTTGCCGCAGAAGGATAGCAGGAGGAAGAATAGGGAGCGGGGAGGGAAGAAGAAAGAGGATGAGGAGGAGGAGGACCCAGACTCCCCAGAGTATTGAACAACTCGCAACGGGAGTTCTTCGGCCTCTGGGGCCCTTAGCAGGCCCCAGGGCCATCAAACAGCAACTCTGGAGAAACAACTGGCCCCGGGCAAGTAGTCGAGGCTTCCGGGGGCTCCACGATTTGTGTAAATGAATCACGACGTCGGGGGTCACGGGAGGAAGGTAGAAGGAGTGGCGCGGCATGTGAGAACAGTTTTCGGCGTGCGCGAAGTGCCCCGTTCAGGTGTTGGAGTGCCCCAAGTTGTCCTGGCTCGAAGGGGCAGGAGGGCAAGGGTTTCAAGGCCCCAATTGGGATTCCATCAGGGAGTTGGCGTGGTTAGCTACGCGTGCGCCTGCATGGTTTTACGGCGCTCGGACTTTCGTGCAGACGAGCGCGATGGCCTTCCGCAAAAGTATTCAGCAAGCGGCTTGCGTGTGTTCCGCGCGTGTGGGTCCAACCGCGTTTGCTTCTGGCTTCCTGGGGTGGGAGCTCCGTTGTCGGGGTGGTCCTCCGCCTCGCTCTTTCGGCGCGTGCTGGGCCATTGCCCTCTTCTTGGGCTGGCTCCCGCTTCGGGCGAACAGATGAAGGGGGGAAAGCACAGGTGCTGCAATAGCAAGTTTTAGAATTATGGCAGACATAGAAAGCTTATGATGGGCGCCGTGCTCTGATCATTGTGCAACGCGCACTCGGAACGCCGCCACTTTCTCACAGGCGGCAATATAAAGCAATGTCACTGATTGCATCATGTCGGCAACCCGCGTTGTGTTAGGCTCTGTGGAAGTGCACGGCGAGGTGTGCAAGAGCGCCGCCTCATTCAGTTCAGTTTGAGCGCTGCAAGCTGTCCAGCGCCACCGTGCATGCAGTGTCCAGCTGGGTCATGCACCTGGGCTCGCCCTGCAATCTGCCGCTCCCCGCAGGGGCGCTCGCGCCAGCCGTTGCCCCCACCAGACCCGGCTGTCAGGAGCAGCGGCGAGACTTGCTGCTGCATGCGGGCCGCACGCTGGCCCGCGCACCTCGACGCGGCCCCCTGGCGCCTGCCACGGGCGACCGCAATCGGCCTCCCAGGGGAGATGCCGAGGGATGATGGCCCAGAAAGCACGACAGGTCCTCGGCCTCGAGGCCTCGATTGGCCCGCTCCCCGAGGCCTCGATTGGCCCGAGGCGGCCCCGAAGCGGCCCCTCGCGAGGGGACTTGGCGAGGCCCGCGAGGAGCCCGTCTGAAGGGCCCAGCGAGACCGCCAGAAAAGGCAGCAGCAGGCGGGCCGCAGGCGTGCCAGCAGAAGGTCCACGACCGCCCCCACTCCACGGCCGCCTCGCAGCGGCAGGTGGCGCCCAGGCTGCTCTCGCCCCTGCGAGAAGCCTCCGGGCGCGCTAAGGGGTCCTCGGATGGACCCGCGGGCGGCCTCCCGACCCAGAAGAGCAGCGCCACCGCCGCGCGCCGTCGCGGCCACGCCTCGCGGCTAAAACGGCGCAGCGCGGTCTTCCTCTGCAAGGGCCAGAGGCCCCGACCGCGCAGATGATCTGGCGGTAGCCAGGGGCGCGCTTGGGGGCCTTGGTGGGCGCGACGCTGTCAGAGTCCTCGCAGCAAACTAGAAAACCCACGGCGACGCAGCGACGAAGCTCCGCGACAAGTGCTCGCCAGTCGGCGCCGCAGGTTGTCTCTGCCGAAGTCCTCGTCCTGCCCTTCGGCAACTTGCTGACGGGGAGCTTTGAAATCTGAAAGCCCTTGGATGTCCAAGCCTGCAGCCAGCGCGTGGCCTGCGGCCAACAAAGTCTGCTTGTCTGCCAGGCGCCACGGGTAGGCTGACATGGCACTCAAGTGGCCCGAGAAGACGAGAGTTGCGCGAAAACATCGCGCATGCGCTGCTCGACGGTGACCCAGCTCGCGTCTTTCAGCTTTTGACTATACATGTCCTGCGCCTCCAATCGGTTACAACCTAATTGGGGCCGCGCGCCAGCCTTCAGGCTCGGAAGCTGCGCCCATGACGAGATCCGACGTTGCGCAAAACTCTCGGAGACTCTGGTTCACCCCCAACCCCGTCCCGGGCCACCGCTCCATCCCGCGCCCCAGCTCCATCCCCGTCCAAAAACCCCAACCCAGCCCCACACTGAACCCCAGCCATAGTTTCAGCCTCGCTCCGCATGGCGCCCAGCCCGCGCGCTTTCCTGGAGTGGGTCCGGGCCGCCGCGAGGACCTCTCCCATCCTCGAAGCAGCTTGCGTTTTCCAGCCCTTAGGAGATTCGAGAGGTTCCAGCTCCACGCGCGTCTGGGAGCCGCAGGCATCATGTCAAGCGCCTTCGAACAGCTGTCGAACGCACACGGAATCCACGGCTCCATGCCGCGCCCTCGAAGTCCCCAGCTAGTTGCCCACGCATTGAATCTCGGCCCATCGGCGAGCCACGCATCCCCGCCAAGGTGATGACAATAGTTCGGCCAGCCTTGACTATTGCAGCTCTTCTGAACTATTGCGCCTCAGGACGCCAACTAATGCACTGGCGCGCCAGTTATTGCACACCTATTGTTCGATAGAACATATTCGAACTTCACAATTGTCACCTATTGCATCACCGCGCAAACTATGACGCAATTATTGCGCCGCCGTTTCCCTGCAGCCTTTGATTGTCGGGGCAGGGGTGACCTCGGTAAGGTGACCTTCCAATGACTGCGCGCGAGCCCGGAGCGTTCCACGCATTGACCCACGCGCGTTTCCGCGCCAGTGTTGCCTCGTCAATTGCCCGCCTCCCGCTTATACTCCCATTCCTCCTCCTCGTCTTTTCCCCTCCTTCCTGCCCCTCCTCCGCCCGCATTCCGAGACCCGCCCTCCTCCGCCCCTCCCCCCTTTCCCTTTCCATTTCGGGCCCCTGGCCCTGTCGCCCTCCTCCCCCCTCCCTTTCGGGCTTGGGTCCACATTCCGCTCCCGCTCTCTCTCTCTCTCTCTCGTTCTCTCTCTCTCTCTCTCTCTCTCTCTCTTTCTCTCTCTCCACCCATGATCCTCCTCCGTCCTGCTGGCAGATGATGCTGCTCCTGGAACTTCAAACATCCGCCCCTCCCTTCTGGAGTGGGGGGGGTCGGGATGGCCGCGCGAGGGGCCCAAGAAACCCTCCTCCGCCTCCACGTAGTCGCTCTTCGACGCTGTCGAAGAGCGAAGAAGAGGGCAGTAAACTCAAACACTGTAAGTACCACTTGTTATTGTTTGGCGGGCTCCAGAATTCTGAATGATAGCTGAAACACGGGTGCGTTCCATTGGCTGCGCCTGAACTCCTTTGATCGCGGCACGAAGCGCCAAACAGCGCAGACGTATCCTGCTCTCGGAGGGGGAGGGCGGGCCTGCGCAAGCGCTCCCCAGGGTTAAGTCGGGCCTGTCCCTCCACAGGAGGAATACTCAAAAATAGTCTGGGGACTATTTTGTGCTTGTTTTTGATCATTCTGGGAGTATTTTGGGGGTATTTTTGATATTTCGGCCGAAATCCCCCTGTAGGGGGACATGCCCAACCTAACCCCAGGGCCCGCTCGCCGTTCTCGAGACACTTGGCGGCGGGCAGCGGGCGGCTGAACCACCTGTCGGTTTGTTCGGAGCGGCCGCTCTCATTCGGAGCGGCCGCTCTCATGGAGCCCTTCCACCAAAGAACCTTCCGAGAAGGAAAAGATACCCATACCACTACCTTTCGCACGTTTCCCCCTTTTTCGGCCTCCTGGGATGCCCTCGTCGCCACCGCTGGATTCGCCTCGAAATCCTGGTCAGAACGCACCAGGAGAGGTTCGGGGAGTAGCGGTATCGGTACCCAGTGGTTTCCCCAAACCTGTCGACGATTCCAGTTTTTCGATGGGGGTCGGCGGTCGGGAGGGCTGCGTTGGCCTGGGCAACCGCCTGCAGCAGTCCCCTTCGCAGCTTCGAAGCAGTCGGCGGCTCGAGTTCCCAGAGGGCCTGTGGCCGGCTGGCCCCTCGGGCGGGCCTGCTCGACGGCTCTCGGGGACACCAGTCTCGTTGTGGAGTCTGCCGACGGCTTCAGAATTTAGGATGCCCAAGGGGCCACGTCGGGGGGGGGATGGGCTCATGGGGGACTGCGCCGGCACGCAGGCGCGCACTGATCGCCGACAGGGGTCTGAGATTCCACCCCGCCCACGAGCGTGCGGTTTCTCTACCGATTCCTGTAGCCGATTCATGGGCGATGCATCGCCGATTCCAGCTCGATGTCTTCCCCCCTGAGCTCCCCTGTGCTCCAAAAGGTGCCTAGCTGCACCGTTCCCTGGTGCTTCGGCCTCGCGAAGTTGAAAGCTGTCCTGAGGTTCTGCCCTTGCTCCCCTCGTCTTCCAGAGGTCGCCTCAAATAACGGCACTGGGGGACGTTTGATCAGAGGTATCGTATTGGGCCCCGGGACAGTGAAAAAGCGGCGCATAGTGCACAGTGTCGAAACCGTACCCAGGGGATCTATCCATAAGTTTGGGGTCCCCGTGATGAGAATCCCGATGTTGGGGTTTTCGGGCCCCCTGGTTCCCCGAGCTCGTGGTTACCGCCAGCTCTGGGTCGGTCGGTTGCGCAACTGGGTCTCTGGCATCCGGTGACCCACGACGGGAGGGCGCAGCTCCCCTTGTGGGCAGCCCGTCGCGACGCAGCCTGGCGGTGAGCGGTGCCGGGGGTGCGCCCGAGTGGGCCCCGTCCGCATGCACACGGACGGGAAGAGCAGGGAGGAAGCGGCAGCTTTTGGTGGGCGGGGGGCAGGTGAGAACGGCCCACCGCACAGCGGGCGTCCGGCTCGGAAAGCACGTGCACGGCATTTGCGGCAGCGGACGCCAGGGAAAGAAGCTGCAGCGCAGGAGCACGCAGGAGGTACGGTACGTTTGCGTCGTGTCGACCAGCGGCGGCGACCCCCCCCCGCCGCATGCGTTCCACGTTGGACGCCGCCAGCGACCCAGAATTGTTCGATGTTGAACGATCTGCCGTTTCGGAAACGGCCGATCGTTCAAGGATGAACGATCCCCGCGGTGTCAGAAACCAGCGCTGGGATCGACCCGACCCGAACATGCCGCACGATGCAGTTCTTATGCAAGACCCCGCGAGGACCGAGAGGGTGAGCTCAGCGAAGGCGGCAAAGGTCTTGGCTGCGGCGGCAAGGGCGGAAGAGGCTCTGTCGGCGGAGGCACTTGGGGCCGGGGGGGGCATTGCGCGTGGTCGTGCTAGGCTGCCACTACACAGCAAATGCGCGTGCGCGTGTGCTTTGCGGACGTGGGGCAGTTAGAGTATGTTGCCTTCGGCGTCCCGTCTACATGTTTCAGAATTGGTTGCTGCCGCCTACCGCTCCCCGAACGGATGTCCCAGACAGCCTTTTGCCTTGGGCTGGCGCCGATTTCTGGAGCCCCCGCTTGACCTCGGATGGCAGAGTTCATCGGTTTGGCCAGCCCCTTGTCTTGGGTTTGCTTCGGCTTCGCTCGCCACGGCGGGCCCCGACGAGTCCTGTGCCCCGGTTCGGCGCCGTTTTCACACGCCCTGACAGGCATTGCCTAATCCTTTGCTCTGGTGCGGCGCCGACGTTGCTTTCTCCGTCCTGCCTCCTTGCCCTTCGCCTGGCACCGGCTCCGCTTGCCCCACTGGTCCCGACAACCTTCTCTTGGCATGGCGCGAATTGTGCTCGCCTTGACCACCAGCCCACCCCCTGTCCTGGGCCACAGGCGTGGACCCGAGCGGCGCCGGCCGCCCTGCTTCGTCGGGGCTGCCGCTCGTACGTCTCTGGCCCCGACCTGTCCCGCTGCCACGCCTCCTGTGGATCTACGTCGGGTCGACAGCCCCGCTTCCAGGTGGACGTTCTGGTGCCTCCGATCGGATCGAGTGGAGAATTCCAGACAGGGCCTCGTCTTCGGGAATCGAAGGAGTTGGCATTTCTTGTTCGGCGGAAGGCGGCGGAAGTCAAACGAGGCCGACTCCGCCGGCGGAATCCGGCGAAAGTCAATATCAGCCTCCCAGGAGATGACACGTTTGTTTGGTTCAGGGTTTCCGGCAGCTGGCATTCGGCTTCCTGCTCTTTCGTGCCCTGGGGCCCGTACGCCTGGTCTAAGCTCCGCTCCTGCACGTGCGCATTCTATGTTGATCCCGCTTGCATCGCCTTCGCACGATCGGAGGAGGGCCAGTTGAGACAACGGCGGCCCTACCTGGCATTCGTTGTCCTGTCCTTGTTGGGCCTCCTGCAGGCTTCTCATCGCTGCGGCTGAATGCGCCTCGAAAACCGGGTCATGATAGGCCATACAGCGTCGACCCCGCGAGGGGTCTAGGGACCGAATTTGAATTGGATTTTTTTGACCGATCGGGAGAGCTGCCGTTCCAGTGGAACCCCTGCCCTGTCGGGCGCCCTCCTGTTGACCCTGCTGCTGATGCGCGGCTTCTCCGCCTGGTATTTCGACATCACGCGAATCATAGCAGGCAGCAGAACAGGGAGCGCCGCAGAACGTTCCGCCGTCGGGAGCGCCATTCCCTCCCTGAGGGAGGACGGGGGGTCTGTATAGTTCTGGGGGCTCACATTACTCGTGTGCTGGTATCAGCACGGTATGTCTTCAGACTGAACAGTCTTGTTTTAGTTACGCCGACGCGTCTTGATTCGTTGCGGGGATTTAGCGGCCGCCTCCAATCACATTGAACGGAGAGATCACCAATAGCGCAAGATGCGGCTAATGGCGTGGTAGGTCGGCAGGAGGAGCAGCCGTGGGGTCACGGGGCAGGGGTGCAGCGGGAAGTTCAGGGAGAACGCTTGGCGGCGAAAGCCAGACCTTCCCCTCGCCGATCAACGATTCGGGCAGCTCCATGGGCAGCGGGGGCAGGGTTCGGCATCCGTCGAGCACGCGGCGAAATCCGAACCCGCCCCCCGACCCCCATCGATTCAGTGGTTGTTCGATGATTAGTGGGGGGAAGGTTCGGATGTCGCCACCTAAACGCGGCGTCAGAGCCAGAGGCGGCAGCAGGGCGGCGCGGGTCTGCGACCGCTGTCGAGCCTTGCCCCTGCGGGTCCAAGCGGCGCTGGGGTGCCGGACGCCTCTTCCGTGGGGCTCGCCTGGCGGCGTCCGTCTCTTTCATTCTGGATCTTGGCCGGCGCCTCAGAAGTCTGCAGGGTGTGAGCCAAATTGTGGCTTGGCGATTTCGTGGGCCGCTTTCGTTTTGATGTCGTTGTGTATCGGAATGGCAGAGCGAGGACAGATCGAGGGACACCGAAAACAGCACGGAAACGGACACGACTTTTCAGCTCGAGCACCTGGCATTCTGACCTGCAAGGGTACGGTTCACACGTGGTTGCCTGAGCAGGGGGACAGGGAGGAGGCGAATGTGGCCTGAGCTGGTCCTCGGCGGTCGCAAGCTGGCCCCCGATGTGCCCCGCGCTCGCCGCGCGGGAGCTGCCCAACATTGGTCGCAGCCGGCCAGATGTTGGCCCCAGGATCGCACCGCGCACAGGCCTCGGGTTGGCCCACGGCGGCCTCGAGGCAGCCCAAATCCGCCGGAGTGCTTCTCCGGGCCTTTCCGGGACCTCCCCCGCCTCCCTTGGGACTCCCCTTGGGGCCGCCCCTGCACATGGGGGGGAGGATCGAGCCTGCTGGTTGGGCGGCGCCCCTCAGGGGGTGGCGCGAGGGGGGCGGCGCAGTCAGAGGGCGGAGGGTCTTCTTCGAAGGCAGAGGCCTTCTTGGAAGTCCCCGCTGGCTTCTCGCTCGCGACGGGGTCTTGGAAGCCTGGCGGGTTTCAAAGAGGCCCCCTTGCCTTCTTGGAACCCCCGCCGCCTTACAGGGCCGCGTCCCTCGCGCTGGGCGCCTCCGGGCTGTGGCGCCTTCTGCGGCCTGCGCTGGAGGGAGGGCGCAGGACGGCCACGGCCACGGCGGAGAGCCTGCCACGAAACAGCCCGACAGGTCGGCGGGATCGGCAGAGGATTCCCACGGGGGAGTCCTGCTCTCCCAGGCCGCCTGCAGGGGCGCGCAGGTGAGCCGCCTCTTCTCCACGGGGGGGGCCGCCCGGAGGCGCGCGCGTCGCGTGGCGTGGAACGCGAAGCTAGGCGACCTGGATGGATCGGGCACCCCAATGCAGACTCGGGGGTCCGCGCGGCTTGACCGAGTGCGCCACAGACGTGAAGAAGGAAGGGGCGGGGAGAAAGGGAGGATAGAGAGGAACTGGAGAGAGAGAGAGAGAGAGTCATATATATAGAGAGAGAGAGAGCGAGAGAAAGAGAGAGAGAGAGAGAGACAAAGAGAGAGAGAGGGAGAGAGATTGGAGCGAGATGGGAGAGGGAGGGTCAGTGCGGAGGAGGAAGAGGGGGGAGCGGGGGGGGGGGGGATGGGGGAATGAGGATGTGGGGGGTAGGGAGAGAAGGCGGGCGAGACGACGGTGACGTGGACGTGCAAGAAGAAGGCGAGGAAGAGGGTGCGGGCTAAGATGACGCAGAAGAGAAGGACAACGAGGCGGAAGATGAGGCGGAGGACGGAAATGGAGGACAGAAACGGGGACATGATGGGGGGTGATGCGGATGGGGGGAGGGAGGTGTAGGATGAGGGGTCGAGGGAGAAAAAGGGAGGGAGAAGGAGGATGACGGTTGGGAGGAGAAGGAGTATTGGGAGGAAGACGAGTTTGGGGACGAGGTGGATGAGAAGGGGTGAGAGGAGAGGGGCGAGGGGAGGGTCAGGAGGACAAGTAGGGGACCAGGCAGGGGCATGAGAAGGAGGAGGATCGGGATCAGCACCAGGAGGAGGAGGAGGAGGAGGCGTCTGCCCTGAACCCTCGAGCTGCCAGATGGCATCACGACCTGGCCCTAAGCCTCCGTCCTCCTCCTCCTCGTCCCTCTGTCGTCTCCCTCAAGAGGAGGAGTGCATGATCGGCGAGGAGACGGAGAGTGGAAGGGGGGGGATGCGCAGGGCAAGGCGCGGTGGAGTGAGAAGGGGTGGTGGAGGGGTGGAGGAAAGGGGAGAGGAGAGGAGGGTTCTGCTCCCTGCCGACCCCCTCTGCCCTCCTCCCGCCTTCCCCCTACCCGCTCGCGCGAGCTGAAGATCCGGCCGAGCGCCGCGTTTTCGTCGGCAACCTCGCCTTCCGCGTGACGTGGCGAGCCCGCCCGCTGCCTCGGGGGTGCAGGGGCGGGGGTGGGGGACGCGGTGCGCTGCCGCGGCGCATCGAGGAAGCGCAGACATGCGCGAAGGTCCGCGGAAGGCTCGTGCGCACCGTACCGCGTCGGCGTCCCCCGAGGCGTCGTCGCTCCTCGGCTCCGGAGGGGTGCGGTGCATGGCGGTTCTGCCCTCGGAGCCGAGGAGCTGTGCGCCATGCCGTGGCGGAACCCGTCGCCGGATCGGGCGGCTTTGGCCTCATGTCTCGGGGGGTGCCTCCCGCGATCTGCAGATCCTGTACAGTCGGGGCGCTGAAGAAGGAGCCCTGTTCGTTTGGGAGGGGCTCCGTGTTCCTGAGTTGTGTTACCGTTTGCCTCAGGCTGTCCTTCGGCTTCCGATGCGAAGTCGTAGCTGAATTTGTGGAAACCGTGGGCCTCGTTCCTTATGTTGGGCTCCTTAGGTCAACGCCCCGACTGTAAGCCATGTTAGCGCTCTGCCGAGGTACACACGTGTGCGTGCATCCGCTGCTGTGTTGTACCAAGGCGCCTTTCGACAATGTCTCTGACTGAGAAAGTATCCCTCGCTTTCGACACTGACCGTTCATCACGCGCCAGAAGTTCAACTTATGGAATCAATGAACCTCGTTCCTTACCTAGGGTTCTTTAGGGCAAAGCCACGACTGTAAGTCCATGTGAGCGTGCGGCGGGGTGCCAGCCGCGGACGCCAGAGGGGGTCCTGCTGAGGAGGCGGGGTCGGAACGATGCGGCCTCCTCCTCCCCCTCCTCCTCCTCCTCCTCCTCTTCCTCCTCCTCCTCCTTCCACCCTCCTCCTCCTTCTCCTCCTCGTCCTCCTCCTCCTCCGCCTCCTCCTCCTCCTCCTCCTCCTCCTCCTTCCACCCTCCTCCTCCTTCCACCCTCCTCCTCCTCGTCCTCCTCCACCT